TGAGAGACCTTGTTGAGGGAACTCATTTATTATGGTCCTGGAGTTTGTGCTCCTTTTTCAAAAGTAGAAAGAAAAAAGGACTGGAAGGAAATTTAGAAGGAATAAAGAGATATAAATGAAAAAAAAAAATTCCTTTTTTGATAAAGGACCATCAAATGCATTGTGCTCATGGAGCACATTAAAAAAATCCTTGTTGAGGAAACTCTGCACATGGTAAGTGCAGCAACAAAAGGTTTAGCTTATATTCCTTATGAGTTCTCTTATCTAGTTTTAACTACCTTTAACTTGCTCCCTGCAGCCACATTTTTCCGCCAGAAAAAAAAAATAGAGAGATAATTAATGTTTGTTTCATTGTTTATTTTGTTGATTAAAAGGCATTGCTGCCTGAAGTAATGTTATTTCCTTAAACTTCTAATTAAGTGTAATCTTCCCTCAAACGACCTTGTATATAAATCTTCTACTCTTCAAAAGTAAGTAGCTTTTGCTTACATTCTTGAACACAAAAGATATCTTTTTTGCATCATGATATTTTTATCTTAAATGTTGACATTCTATTTTTTTTATTTTTTTTATTTTTCATGATTGCTAGTCTTCTTCGGCATCATGATTGTTGCACATACGACAATGGGGAATATGTGAAAGTAAATTTAGCATAATTTGAGTTATGGTGTTGCCAAGCAAAGAAGCGGGTAATTATTATTTTTTAATAAAAATAAGGATATTATTAGCAATATTTCTTGTGGCTGCTGAGGTAGCTTTTTAATCTTTTGATCTCATTTGTTTTTCAAATTTCTGTTTCTCTAGTTTTTACTCATATTTTTCATGTGTGTGAGACACTTGACAATTTTATGTTGTATAGATAATGTTTGGAAATAACATTTAGTTTAATATCATTAGATAATTTTTCCTTGAATTTTTCAAGTTTTTGTAAGTTCCATTTGCTGGTTGGTTGAAACCAATTAATGTCATTGCATTATTTGGTAAGTTCCTTGATTTAAAATGTTATTTACGATGTTATCTTTACATGTTTTAAAATGTTTTAGATGTATTTGAAAATCCATACCTCCTTATATTATTCAATATTTTCCTAGCCAATTGCCCAAAACACTTGATTTGTTTGATTTTGGAGCACATTGACAATATCACTTTTGTTTCATCAACATCAATATATATTCTCTATGTAAAAGCATCACTTTTTATGGTCCATCACTTTTTATGGTGCTTCATCAACATCGATGTATATTGACCCTTGTTTCATATTTTATGCCGATTAAGAATATTTCTCAAGGTGCTATTGTCATCGACTATTTTTATATGATACACATTGAAATTGGCAACAAGATGGTAGCTGCAAAGGTATCATTTCGTTTATTTTTATTTTTTTTTGTTATGGTAATGTCACGAAAGGAGAGATTTAATACACGTTATATTTTTATTAAGGAAAGCACCTAGTTAACTTTTTCTATATGTTTGTTCTTTAAGCGTGTGATCCTCTTGTGATTTTGTATAATGCCAAAGTGTCCATCCTATTGATTACTAAAAAAACAAAATGTCTCCATCCTATTAGTTGCTCGTGTTGAGGACTCTATCTAAATAAGGTATCACTTCTTCCAACGTTAATGGTCGCAAGCCTAAAACAGGCACTTCTTTTTTATCATAAGAATTTGTCTTTGGGAAATGTATTTGTTATCTTGCTGTAAAAAACAAAATTATTATGCTACCGATTATAATTATGGACTCCGGGTAATACATAGTTATGATATGATAAAAAAAATTCTCTCTTTTCAGAAGTTGTCTACTGATGTAGAGAGAATATTTTTTTTTTATATCATAGCTATGTATTACATGGAGTTCATAGTTATAATTGGTAGCAGAAGATGATTTTTTTGCAGCAATATAAGAAATTGGGGACCTTTTGTCTTTTGCCTATAATGATCATCAATTAAAAATGAGGAAAATATTTCTGCTTTTATTGCAGGAAAAAAATTCTCTGCCACACTCACATAAAAGTGAGTGAATCCTATTGTAAAGTGAAGAAAGAAAAAAGATTAGTAGGATTCACTCATTTTTATGTAAATATGACCAAAAACAAAAATATTAAACCCTTCAAAAATATACAACAATTAGATTTGTTTACTTTTTGCCGATTATATGTAAAGAAAGTGTATATGATATTTTTAAGCTGGTACACTTATTGATTATTAGAGTAATTACTTGATGCTATTGCAGCTATTGACTTAAATCATGATTTTATCCCACGGTGTCAAAGGTCGGAGATACATAAACAATATCTAGACTAATCATTTTATGCTTAGCTAGAAGACTATATCTAAATTTCTTGTTGAAAGTTATGTTTCCCATATTGAATTGAAAAAATTGAAGTGTACGAAGATAGTAATTACCTTTTTATTATTAGCTGCTCAATCTTGAATGATTGATAATTTCTAATTATAGTGATCTTTGGAAATTAAAAAAATAAAAATAGCTACAACATACCGTGGCTATTTTTTTGAAATAAATCATTAAGTTAGCCACGGTTAGCATAACCCGAAATCACCATCTGAAATATAAAGTGGCTAACTAAAACAACGAACGTGGTTAAAATATTACAATATCATAATTAGTCACATTTATAAAAAGTGTGGTTGTTTTTAGTAACCATATTGATTATATAATTAGGCACGTTTTTAAATGTGGCTAAATCCCATATTTTTTGTAGTGTTAATTATTAAAGAATATTAATTTTCTTGAAAAAATTAATATAAGAGAATTATGTATATATATATATATATATATATATATATATATATATATATACATGGTTATATTTACATATTATTTGTTTACAAACATTTAAGTATGTACTCCCCAGAATACATAGTATAGTTTGTTAACAAAAAGTTTGTAAAAATAACCTAATCCATAAATAAATTATACTTTTTTCCATTAAGAGATACTCAAATATTTTATCAAAAAATAAAAAAGAGATACTCAAAGATGAAGACTTGTTATACTTAAATCTTATTTTAATATAAGTGAACCTATTAGTCATTTACAGATGGCGAGAGTAACATATTTTCTCTACAATTAATTTTAAAAATCATATAATTGTTTTTTAGATTCTACCTATATTATCGACTTTCTGATTTTACCTAAAACTTTTATTTTATTTTTTAAAAATTCAAAGTAAATAATAAAATTTCAAAACTAATTATCGTAACATTTTGAATCGAAAAAAAGTACTCATTAAATCTCATTCATATAAAAATAAGTTAAAAATAATAATTTTTATAAATAAAAAAGTTCAATAACATGTTTAAAGAAAAAAGAGTATAATTCAAACATATTAAAAAATTATGCTCAGGCACGCGGTCGGGTTCAACTTTTTCTTCATTATTATTATTTGTAATCCTCCTCCGCACGTTGACCACGCTGCGTTTAAAATATTGCACTCGGGTTTCCACGCTAAGCTCGCTGCAAATATAAAAATGAAAGTAATATTATTAAATTGCATTCTTTTCTGCAAAAATGATTGAATTCACTTAGTTGTTTACATATTTTTATGTCACATTTCATATATTTTAGAATTGATAAATTTTGCAAGCATCTAGTTTTTTTTTTTTTTTTTTGTTAAAAAAAAGAGTAAAATAAAGGAGGAGACATATAAATACAATAGTGGATTCTATATTTAAAAAATAAAGTTATAATTTGTAATTAAAAATTAACAGTTGAAATTATAATAAGTACACACTTATATATAGTAATTATTAACATTTTAATTAATAACTCTAACTTAATATGTATAAAAAAAATAACCATAACAATCTTTTTCTCTACAATCTTGGTCAAATTCAGAAATCACACTTATATAATAAGGTGAAAATGAAATCCTCACTAACTTGCAAGGCAGACAATAAATAAATGAAACATAAACGAGAAAGTGACAGCTATACATAACTTGCGTGATTTATCGTATGAATCAGGACTAATTTCTAGAAGTGGACCTATTGAATAAATGTAGTTGTTTGCAATTGTAATATAACATTGACTTATTCATAATATAATAATCACAATTTTACACCTTTATACTAAAATAATAATAAAAGAATTTATTAAAGAGAAAGTATACGTATATATTTAATAAAGAGAGTGCCGGCCGGATTTGTCCCAAAACGTAAGAAAATGATTCTAATTAGTTTTACATGTTATTTTGGTTTTAGTTTTTCACTAAAATATCTTGACCTGTATTGTTATAAAAGTAATATCACGACTAAAACACCGCACCCTGTCGATAGTCGGGCATACAAGTTCTGCGGCTAATATATATAATATAATATAAATCGATTCAATATCTCTTATATTAGATAAAATTATCTTCACTTATATAAAAGTATACGAGGGCGGGGGCTATGTAGTGCGAGGAAAATAAAGAAAGAAAAAAACACCAATCTCACACACAGTACTTATTATTTCCTACTGGATAAACATTAAACCCAATATAAATACTGCTATTAGAATGAGCAATTGGAATCCGCATCTCGTCTCTACAAACACAAGTGCCTGTATTTATGTAAGTTGGCTTGGGAAGCGACTCAGAGTCCAACGACCCTCCAAATCAGGATTCAGCTAAGAATTGAAGCTTGTCTCGTTAACACTCCAGACTGAGTACGCTTCAGCTTCTAGTTCAGCACCGGACCGGATCGATCTCAAAACACACACAGACATATATATATATATATTTAATTAACTCACAGTGGTTGGTATGTATTTTTGCAATCCATATATCTGTCTCTGTTTCTTTTAATTGGCTGAAATATTACTTACTTTATTAGAATGAGAAGTAGTAAGTCTGTTATTCAGGTTAATTAGCTATGATCAGTTGCAGTTTGGGCATAATTATATACATTTATTAATCATGCAGTTGGAGTTGGAGCAGCTAGCTAGAAATTAATTTGAAGGTGAGAGAGGAATTCTGGTTAAACATTAATTATTAGGTGAAGATGTGGAGGTTGAAGATAGCAGATGGTGGGAAAGACCCATACATATTCAGCACAAACAACTTCGTGGGGAGGCAGATATGGGAGTTTGATCCTGACGCAGGTACACCTGAGGAGCGAGCAGAGGTTGAAGCTGCTCGTTGCGATTTCTATAACAACCGCTTCAAGTTCAAGCCCTGTGGCGACCTACTTTGGCGGTTTCAGGTTTTGCTGCTACCTTTTACCACTCTCTTACTCAACTAATTCCTTATCTTTCAAGTGTTTCCATTTCTTTCCCCTTTTCGTTCTTCCTACTTCCTACTACGTACCTACTACCTTCTTCTCTGGAAAGCATATAAGTGTGAACTTAAATTGTCACATCAAATACTATATATTTATATTTATTCACTCATATATTTACTAAAAAAATAAAAAATAAAAAGTCGTGTCATACGATCTAATTAATAAATGAAATTTATTTTCATCTCACCTAATATATATAATAAGGATATATACAAATATCGGTGATGCAATTTTAATTTTCTCATCTATAAATATATCTTATATATTTTCCAAATTTGTTTCCCGGCATGTGCAGATTCTGAGAGAAAAGAATTTCAAACAAACAATAGCCGGTGTGAAGGTTGAAGAAGGTGAGGAGATAACATACGAAAAAGCCACGACAACGTTGACAAGGGCCGCACATCACCTATCAGCATTGCAGACCAGTGATGGCCATTGGCCTGCTCAGATTGCAGGTCCTCTCTTTTTCCTTCCTCCCTTGGTGAGTATTAATTAACTACCCAATATTAATATAATTTTTTATTTTTATTATTATTACTTCCAATTTGCTTAACTATTTCTGTTGATTTAGAATCACATAATCAGTAAATGTCAAGATGATAAATTGATTTCTTATCCGATTATATTTATGAGTTATCCTTTTAAATTTAATTTATTTAAAATAATGCTCATTTTTATGGCTGAAATTAAAAATGTAAAAAGGGAAGAATCCTAATTTCAAATGTCATTTCATATTCTTACTTTTGGCAAACGTCTCATTGTTGGAAATGACAAGTTTATTTCCAATTATATTGATAAAAAAAGTAAGCACGATTCATTTGGTATTAATCAAAAAAAGTTGCTGAAGTGACTCGAGTTAGGTGGCAATTTTCTAATACGATATGTTTATCGGTAGAGCTTTTTAGCTTTGTTTTTTTTTTTTTTTTTTAAGAATAGATAACCCATTTATATAGCACACACTTTTACTCGAATTATCAATTTCAAATTTTCATTTCTTATTTTATTTCTATATCTTCCACTGTGATTTTGTCATTCCATCACTTTTACTTTTTGGATTTTCTCTCGCATCCATCTTCATCCCACCGCTACTTTTTAGCTTCCGTATTTGTTCTGTCTCCCTGTTTTTTCTTTTTCTTGTATCTTTCATTCCTCAATGTCTCTCCCTCTCTTCAAATCCTTTGCCTTTTGTAAAAGTGTTTTCCGCATTTTGCTCAGTTTTCTCGATCTCAATTCTGTTTTGCTTCCATGGAGTTTCATTTCCAAATCAGATTTTGAGCGTGATTGAATCCTTTCTCTCTGCGACTGTTCGGTGCGGTGAGTTATCCGTCATCGGTGCCTTTTGTCCTCAGAGCGGTCAGGGAGCTGAACTCGTTCTACTCTCCTTGGTTGCAGCGCCGGTGTCTTCTTCTGGTGCGGTGTTATGTCACCGTTTTGAATTGGGATAGTTAGCTGCGGTGGCTCTCTCACAGCTCTTTGGATTTGTTCTGTTCTCTACTCTGATTTGTCAGTGTGGCTGCTCCATGCTGACATAACGTTACACTTTAAAACAGGGGATGGAATTCGCGTCAAATCTCATGTTTGCGCTAAAAGTTAAAAATTATCATAATTTATTATTCAACATGTTAAAATCCTTTCAAATATTATTTTTTAAGCAAATACTTATCTATTTTTTAACAATAGTTAATTTGAAATCCTTTAATATAAACTAATATAAATTTTGTAACCAAAAATAGTTAAATAAACTATTTAATACTAATTATATATATATAATGACTAAAGAAAAAACAATATAACGTGACGTCTCTGGTAAGTGGTAATTTGCGATCTGCGTTGAATTGAGATTGAGGAGGGTCAATTTAGTGACTTAAATTATACTTGTACTTGATCCGTTATAGGTCGGCTAGAATTGACACTTAGCTGCCCTCGACTTAATTGTTGATATGCTTGATGTTGTCACCTTGTGTTTTGCTTTCAGCTTCAGACTTAATCATTGATGTGCTTGATGTTGGCACGTGTGTTTTCTGGTCGTATCTGTTTACAAATTATATTAAGTATGACTAGTCATATACTCTTGATTGAAATATGACCAATTATATTTAGTGTAGTATCCTGGTTAGTAGCAGTCACGGTTTGACATTAAGGATATTGTTCCTCATTTTATTGGAGAACTGAATTGATGTTTTCTTGGATTGAGGGACTAGATGTCAAAAATTATTTTTAGCACAAAAAATAATAACAAGTATATCTTTAAAGACTGTAAATAGGGTTTATTCATTGATAAAATGATTCACTTCATCATTTTTAAGTCATATTAGACCGACCATTGACCTTCAGATCGATACGAATATAAAAATTTGAAGTTTGTAGACTTTATGATATTGCTCATGAAACTGAAAAGGGATTAAGAATCCAAAATTATTTTCAGTATCTGTTTAGACATACTGCTATCGACAATTTGATCTGTGCAGAATTTCTTATAAAATTCAAGTCTAGGAAGCCAATGCACTAATAAACATCAATTTTCTACTTGCTCAAAACACTGCAGGTCTTTTGTATGTATATTACTGGGCATCTTGATTCGGTATTCCCAGGAGAGTATCGCAAAGAGATTCTTCGTTACATATATTGTTTCCAGGTATGCTTGTTCGATTTCAAGACACAGTTACCCAATTGAGCATGATGCCGAGAAAATTATAATGTTTTCCCTTTTCCTTTTTTTTCGAAATTCTTGCATCAATTAATTAAGAACTTACCCTTTTTGCTTAACCGTGAAGTTTGAAATTCGTTCATGTCAGCAACGAATTAATATTGACCATGTTGTGCTTTCATTTGAAGAACGAAGATGGAGGGTGGGGACTACACATAGAGGGTCACAGCACCATGTTTTGTACTGCACTCAATTACATATGTATGCGAATGCTTGGAGAAGGGCCCGATGGAGGTCAGGACAATGCTTGTGCTAGAGCAAGAAAGTGGATTCTTGATCATGGTGGTGTAACACATATACCTTCGTGGGGGAAAACTTGGCTTTCGGTATGAATCTTTTTTATGTATAATATAAAGAGGGAGGATATTCTTACTACTAAAATTTTCTACTACTAACTCACTACCTATCTAATCACCATTGAATTAAAGAGAGAAAATGCTAAAAAAAATTTGAAAAAAAAGAAAATGTTGATCCAATGGTGATTAGATAGGTAGTGAGTTGGTAGTAGAAATTTTAGTAGTAAGAATATCTCTCCTCTAATATAAATACCCAAGTTAACAAACATATGTGTATGCTACTAATTTGAATGAATCGTGCACCTATAGATACTTGGTGTATTTGATTGGTGTGGAAGCAACCCAATGCCCCCTGAATTTTGGATTCTTCCTTCGTTTCTTCCAATGCATCCAGGTTGCATTATTTAATTTTTCCCCGTCACTCTTTGTGGAACTATATACAAGTTTAATTATTGAATTGAGAGTTTATCCTATCTCGTTTTTACCTTAATTAATTAATGCAGCAAAAATGTGGTGTTATTGCCGATTGGTATATATGCCTATGTCTTACTTATATGGGAAGAGATTTGTGGGTCCAATCACACCACTCATCTTACAATTGAGAGAAGAACTCTTTACTCAACCTTATGAAAAAGTTAATTGGAAGAAAGCGCGTCACCAATGTGCAAAGGTGAGAGACATTGTCTTTAATTAATTCCAATGTGTATATACATATCATCTTTTTTGTAAGCGGGATGGTTGTCCTTGTATGTGTTGCAGGAAGATATTTACTATCCCCATCCTTTGATACAAGATCTAATGTGGGATAGTTTGTACATATTCACTGAGCCACTTCTTACTCGCTGGCCCTTCAACAAGCTGATCAGAGAAAAAGCCCTCCAAGTAACAATGAAGCATATCCATTACGAAGATGAGAATAGTCGATACATAACCATTGGGTGCGTGGAAAAGGTAGCTATCGTAACAATAAAGTCTATCAATTATTTAGTTGTATGTATCAATTGAATTGAAATTAACATTTTAGTTTTCCTCTACAAAAGGGAATTCATTCAAATATATGCCATTAACATGTATATATTTTTCAGGTTTTATGTATGCTTGCCTGTTGGGCTGAAGATCCAAACGGAGATGCTTTCAAGAAGCATCTTGCAAGGGTTCCAGATTACTTATGGGTTTCGGAAGATGGAATGACCATGCAGGTATATATATTATATACATCATCATATTTCAATACAAATTAATTAATAGCATAGAATTATTATCACTACTATTATTAATATAACCAATGGGATATATTAATTAATGTACTTGTCGACATAATGCAGAGTTTTGGTAGCCAAGAATGGGATGCTGGCTTTGCCGTTCAAGCTTTGCTTGCCACTAACCTTATTGAGGAAATTGGTCCCACGCTTTCCAAAGGACATGATTTCATCAAGAAATCTCAGGTATGCTTAATTTTGACAATAATACGTGACAGAATCACAATTCTCCTTCCTTTAGTTTAAGAAGAGCAAACTCCTAAATAAATTAACCAAGTTTATTCAAATTATACAATTCATTAATCTGATCTTTGATATTCATAGATCTTATTAATTTACACAGTGACTTAACCAACTAAATGAAAATTAAATGATTACTTGCTAACTAATTACTTGGCTAACTAATATTATCTATAACTAGTACAATTATATTAGTCTAATTAAGAAAAATATTTATAATTCACTAGCAAGTAAGTGTTAATTAGATTACTTAACATAGTATGCTAACTTTATCTAGCTGTATTGAATTGAAATCCTTTTTTCACAGGTTAGGGACAACCCTTCAGGAGATTTTAAGAGTATGCATCGTCATATTTCTAAAGGGTCATGGACCTTCTCTGATCAAGACCATGGTTGGCAAGTTTCTGATTGCACTGCGGAAGGTTTGAAGGTAACTAACTACTTAGATCATGAACAACTTAATTAATAAGCTCTATCAATCACAACAAGTAGAGGTTAACCTAGCTATTTAATTCTCCTGTGTTTCAGTGTTGTCTACTTTTATCAACGTTGCCAGCGGAGATTGTGGGGGAAAAGATGGAACCGGAAAGGTTATATGATTCAGTCAATGTCTTATTGTCACTTCAGGCAAGTAATCAATGGAACCTCTCCTTGCTCCTTAATCTTTCTTTCATCAATATATTATGGAAATGGAAAGTAGGGGATTGCACAGAGGACTTTGACCATTGATGTTCAATTTGCGTCTACTACATGATTTACTTTTGACTCAACGTTAATTTTTTATTATTGCAGAGTAAAAAGGGTGGTTTAGCAGCGTGGGAGCCAGCAGGCGCTCAAGAATGGTTAGAAGTAAGTGTTATATTAATTAATAATGAAATATATACCTAGGGTAAAATTATTTCTGCAGGTGTTGTCCAATAATAAATCTTACACCGTTAATTAATTATGATTCCTTACATTAAATGTTTTCACCAACCTTAGTATGATTATGATTTCTCGAATTTATTTGCTGAGCGGCCGGAGAAAAGTATAGTCATATATATATATATATATATTTTTTTTGATGAATGGAATTCATTAGTTAATAAACTAATCAACTTTCTTATTAATTTTCAGCTGCTCAATCCCACAGAATTTTTTGCGGACATTGTAGTTGAGCATGAATATGTTGAGTGCACTGGATCGGCAATTCAAGCTCTTATTTTGTTCAAGAAGCTTTATCCCGGCCATAGGAAGAAAGAGATAGAGAATTTCATTGCTAATGCAGTTCGATTCCTTGAAGATACACAAACAGCTGATGGTTCATGGTATGGGAACTGGGGAGTTTGCTTCACTTATGGCACTTGGTTCGCACTGGGTGGTCTAGCAGCTGCTGGCAAGACTTACACTAACTGTGCTGCCATTCGCAAAGCCGTAAAGTTTCTACTCACAACACAAAGAGAGGATGGTGGGTGGGGCGAGAGTTATCTTTCAAGCCCAAAAAAGGTTCCCAAGTGAATGATTATTACTATTAGTATTCAGTTTTTTATCTTTCTTCAACTTCAACTTGAATTAATAATAAGGACAATGTCTTAATTAATGAAAATGATGCAGATATACATACCTCTTGAAGGAAGCCGATCAAATGTAGTACATACAGCATGGGCTCTTATGGGTCTAATTCATGCTGGCCAGGTCTGCTTTTGATGTGTGTGTGCGTGAGAGAGAAATTATGGGTCCAGTTCATCGTATATTAAAATTCAAAATGCTTATTTATTAAATTAAGTGCACATGAATCTTAAAAAAAATTAAATTATTTTCCTTCTATAATTCCTATGTACAGGCAGAGCGAGATCCTACTCCTCTTCATCGTGCGGCAAAGTTGCTCATCAATTCTCAACTAGAAGAAGGCGATTGGCCCCAAGAGGTACCTTTCAATCCTTTGATATTGATTGATAATGTGGTTCTGATTAACGTACGTGCTTAGCTCACAATAGCAAAAATTAATAGTGCTTAGCTCACAATAGCAAAAATTAATAATGCTTATTTAGTGATTAATTAAATGTGATATTGAAAAATAAGATACAAGTCAATAATTTTATATGGGACATAGTGTAAAAATAAGAAATTTTACACTCTTAATTATGACGGTTAATTCACTTGTATTCAATAGCTCATATAACTAGAAAATTATAGTCATTAAATAAAAGTAAAATCAACAGCCAAAATTAAAAGTATAACTTACACTAATATAAAATTATAATAGTCCATTTTATATAATCAAATACAAAACTTTGTGGCCAAGATATCCCTTTAGAGAGAGTAGGGATTAATTTTCCATCTTTTTTTTTTTTTTTATAACATAATTTTCCATCTTTGCGGTGAGAGAACTGTGTGTGATAGTCAATAATTTTATATAATCAAATACAAAATTTAAAATGACAACAACTTTGAATTGTGTGCTTGCACTTCCTATGTAGTACGACCTACGTCTTTGAAATTTCTTTCTAATGTTGACATCAGAGGTGGATTGAGAGTTTGCACTTTCTAATTTATCAAAACTAAAAATGCAACTAAAATATTTCAATTATTTTTTATTTGGGTTTTCGTTTTATCCTTTAACATAACACAACAAACTTTCTTACTCTCACAACATTTTGTGAGGCCCACACTTTTTAAAACAAAAAAACAAATAAAAAATTAAGGCACGCAAAACGAATCTCTATAACATTACACAATCACTTTTCCTACAACATAACTCTTATAAAACCCTTTTTATTTATGTAAACGTCACAAAAGGCCTACCATTAATTGTATTTTGTAACTAATCTAAAAAATTATGCTTCGGATTGAGTTTCTATTTTTTATTGTTGTGACTTATTTATGGCAGGAAATCACGGGAGTATTCATGAAAAATTGCATGCTGCATTACCCAATGTATAGAAATATTTATCCAATGTGGGCTCTGGCTGAATATCGAAGGCGGGTTCCATTGCCTTCCACTGCAGTTTAACTTGAAAACAGGGAGCACAATAGAGACAAAGCCATATCAACAAGGAATCAAGCAAATAAAATCAAACGAGTTGTAAAATCGAGTCTAATCTCAGTTTATTCCTATTCTTATATATTAATTCCTACATATAATTGGTATATATACGTTTTTTCTTTTTCTTTTTTTGTATTTCATGTTAATTAGCTTATATATGTATGGATATTCTTCAATGTTTTGCTTTATAAAAAGATTTGTATAAGAGTTCAAACAAAGAAAAAAGATCCGAAGAAGCCAACATGTAACCCCATAAATCGATTTTGAGCTTGCTCTATCTGTGCTAGTTAAGTGAGTAGGAAACCTACGAGCCCAAATCCACGTGTACAAAGAGAAAACACGCTCAGAAAATAAAAGAGTGGAGGAGGAAGAGAAAATGTTGAAGAAGCGTGTATTTTGACTTCTACGAATGTGTTCCAATGGATTTGGTAGAGTGGTTTGCAGAGTTTCCACACGCCTAATGGAGTTTAGGGTTGAGGGTACTTCGATCAGCCCCCTATGGAGTTTACTTGAACAGTTGGGGTGGCAAAATGGAATTAAATCACAAAACTGTGTGGGCAAAACAATAACTGCTGCAAATGTTTATGTTTTTCCAACGTAAGACAATAGGATCGATAGCATAAGCAGTAGAAGAACAGAAACAACACCAAGATCTTTACTTGTTTCAAAAACTACGGGTGAACTAGTGGTTAAAATCCCTTGACTATTTGCACTATTAAAGTAAAAACATGTTACACAATACAAGATACACAAATCATTGACCAATTAAAAGAAAAGAAGGGGAAAAGTTGTGTGATTTTAAATGACACATCTTACATCCTTTCAATCTCACAAAGAGGTATGACCTATGTTGGGCCATCTACTAGGCCCATGCGCACTATCCAGACTCCTAAGTACCTAAAGGACTATGTCTAATTAATTAGATCAGGGATACTTCAGTCATTAAGACCTTCTAGAAGTTTAGTTGCTTTTCTGTCAATTCAGTACGCGTTTGTTATGCGTTTGTTATGCTTTGCTACAATTCTGTTAGAACGGTAATCACTTGGTGATATATATCCATAGCTGACGAATGAAATAGATATGAAGTATTATTCTATTCTCTTTTTCTTTCCTTCCTTATCTCTTTCTCCTCTCGTTGGTCCGTTCTGATTATAGAGCCCTACATTTTGGTGCTTTCATTGCTGTACTCTTCCTTCCATGGCAGAAAACACAAGATTGCGTGACCTCACAGCACGCGTGGAGGAGTTGCAGGCACAGCAATTGCAGCTTCCAGAGCTCATCCACACACAAATTGAGACTCTGCGTACGGAACTCCGTCAAGAGATCCTCACCCTCACAACCCAACACCGTCAAAGCATCTTGGGTTCTGGTCCTAATGGATCTCAAAATAACCCACAACGTTTGCGTCTGCTTTTCCCTCGTTTTGCTTCCGGGGATCCCACTGACTGGTTGTTTCAGGTGGAGCAGTACTGCCTTTACAATCAGATCCTTGTGACCGATCGTTTGATGTTGGCTTCATTTCATCTTGATCAACCCGCTTCGCGATGGTTCCAAGGACTCCTTCGAGACGGTGCTGTAACCGATTGGGCTTCTTTTTCCTTTGCATTACGGCGCCGCTTCGGACCCACCGAGTTTGACGATCCGGCGGGAGCTTTATCCAAACTGACACAGACTGGTTCAGTTTTGGACTATCAAACCACATTCGAAGCACTGAGCAGCCGCGTTCCCGGCTTACATGCGGACATTATTAAGAGCATGTTCATTAGTGGTCTCAAACCCCGCATTCGCCGTTCGGTGTTACCTCTGCGCCCTCATGATTGCAATGAGGCCTTTGCTTTAGCTCGCGTCTTTGAGGACCAACAATCCGATGAGAGACCGCCACGTCCATGGACCCCCAAGCCCACTTCGCAGATACTGCCATCGCCCACACCTTTAAATCCACGGCCCCTAAATACCATTCCACCTATTCCAATTAAGCTGTTATCAGCAACAGAACGTCAACAACGACGCGAACATGGTCTATGTTTCAACTGCGATGAACGGTTTATACCTGGCCACAAATGCAAGGGCCGTTCCACTCTCCTTCTTCTCGAAGGATTGGAAGAGGCACAACAGGGGGAACCTCCCCCCATACCCCTAGAGGAACCTCCGGATCAAACCCCAGAGATGGACCCCAACCCTGAAATCAGCTTCAATGCACTATTTGGGCATCCTTCTTCCCATTCATTTCGTATTCAGGGCACCATTTCCCATCAACCTATCCAAGTGTTGATAGACAGCGGGAGCACTCATAATTTCATTACGGCTCGCATGGCCACCCATTTGAATCTACTGGTCCATACCATACCCCATTTCAAGGTTCACGTAGGTAATGGTGATACCCTTTCATGTGAATCTGTATGTCGTTCTGTTTCCCTGCAATTGCAATCTCACGTGGTTTGTTCAGACCTATATGTATTAGCTTTACAGGGTGCAGATGTGGTGTTGGGCATTCAATGGTTAGCCACTTTGGGCCCAGTAACTACAGACTATAACCATCTTACAATGACGTTCACCTTCAATCACAACCCCATTACCTTACATGGTTCTAAGCCTAGCACACCAGATACTATTACACCTTCTCAATTACATAAACTCATTGCCCAGAATAGTATTTCATCCTGCCTCATGTGTTTAACAACTGATAACACCAAAACCAGCATACCCCCACATCCCACCATGCGGCCCTCCTTTCCCTCTTGGAGAAATTCCAAGACATTTTCGATACACCTAACCAACTACCACCAGATAGACCCCACAATCATCACATCACACTCCTTCCCAACGCCAAACCTGTGCAGGTACGTCCTTATCGCTACCCCCATTTCCAAAAACAAGAAATCGAAAGACTGGTCACAAAACTTTTACAATTGGGTCATATTCGGCCTAGTCATTCTCCCTTTAGTTCCCCGGTGCTACTTGTCCGAAAAAAAGATGGTACGTTGCGTTTTTGTGTGGATTACCGCGCCTTGAATGTTGTCACGGTGCAAGACAAGTTCCCGATACCTACTGTGGATGAATTGTTGGATGAGTTACATGGTTCCATCATTTTTTCCAAATTGGACTTACGATCGGGGTACCATCAAATTAGGATGCATACTGAGGACATCAACAAAACAGCTTTCAGGACACATCATGGTCACTTTGAGTTCTTGGTTATGCCCTTTGGCCTATCCAATGCACCCTCTACATTTCAAACAACAATGAACGAGGTTTTTGGACCTCTGTTGAGGAAATTTGTGGTAATTTTTTTTTATGATATTTTGGTTTACAGTAACAATTTGCAGGATCACATGACCCATCTTCATGCGGTTTTTACTATCCTGCGCACACATTCTTTGTTTGCTAAGCGCAGCAAATGCACCTTTGGAGTGGAGAGCATTCATTTCTTGGGTCACATTATTTCAGCTAAGGGGATTTCACCTGACCCTTCAAAAATTACTGCGATCTCAGAGTGGCCTACACCTCAATCAGTAACGCAGTTAAGAGGATTTTTAGGCTTTGCAGGTTACTATCGCCGTTTTATTGCATCTTATGCGTCTGTGGCTTCACCTCTTACAGACTTGCTTACAAAAGGTGGATTCTACTGGTCTCCGAAGGCTGAAGATGCCTTTGCCAAGCTTAAAACCCTTCTCACCACAGCCCCAGTATTGGCCCTTCCAGATTTTTCAAAGCCCTTTGTGATTGAGACCGATGCCTCAGGCACTGGTGTGGGCGCCGTACTAATGCAGAATGCTCACCCTATTGCCTACTTTAGTCGAAAGCTCTCACCGACCATGCAAGGCAAATCCACGTATATTCGAGAGATGTTTGCGGTCACATCTTGTGTGAGTAAATGGCGCCATTACTTACTGGGGGCACCATTCATTATTAAGACAGATCACAAGAGTCTAGTGAATATGTCAACTCAAGTGATTCAGTCGCCCGAGCAACAACAATTCCTTTCGAAATTGTTGGGATTTCAGTACTCTATTTCGTACAAGGCTGGCAAGACCAACGTCGTGGCAGACGCCTTGTCCAGGCCGATCGAAGAAGCCGGATCTCCTTCTTCTATACTACTATTCTCAGTAACCACTAGTGATTACTTAATTACAGTCATCCAGGAATTGCAAAATGACAAATTTACACAGCACATTTTAAGTGAATTAAAGTTGAACCCCAACACGGTGTCCCAGTGGCGTCTACAAGGTCAGCTACTCTTCCATCGTGGCCGATTGTTCCTTCCAGCTAATTCTAGCCTCATCCCGCAATTACTTCAGGAATTCCACTCATCTCCAGTAGGGGGACATGGGGGCATCCGACGTACTTTGAGACGCTTAGGACAACATTATACATGGAAGGGTATTAGTCAACAGGTGAAGAAGTACACAAGGAATTGTGAAGTATGTCAGAAGATTAAGGGCTCAAATCACGCACCTTGTGGTCTGCTGCAACCCTTACCCATTCCTCAACATATCTGGACAGATCTCACTATGGACTTCATCACACATTTTCCTTCTTCACAGGGTTTTACTACTATCTTCGTAGTAGTTGATCGCCTCTCCAAAGGTGCTCATTTTGTTCCCTTACCAGCTCACTACACAGCAGCAAGGGTGGCTACTGCGTTCTGGGACAACATCGGTAAACTTCATGGGTTACCCAAGTCCATTATTTCGGATAGAGATCCGATCTTCCTAAGCCGATTCTGGCAATCTCTGTTTCAGCTACAAGGGACTACACTGAACTATAACAGTGCATATCACCCTCAATCTGATGGGCAAACAGAACGAGTTAACAAAGAAATTGAACAATATTTGAGGGGTTTCACACACGCACAACCAAACAGATGGGGTCGCTTCCTTACCTTGGCCGAGTATCACTACAACACGGCCTTTAACAGAAGCATAGGCATGACTCCCTTTCAGGCGATGTTTGGCCGTCTACCACCATGTCTCCTGGAA